TACGTTATTTATTATTTCCTTTTGCGATTTAACAGATTGTTTCTTTAAACATTTAAATTTTCACTCAACTGAATGTTGTTTATTTTCATAGAAATTCAGATCAAAATACAAAACAAAAGCACCGCATGTGGTGTTAATGCATGTGGTGTTAATGCTTGTATGTTTATAACAAATTTTCATAAATATTCTACATTACAGATGGGCATACCTCTTCATTATATATTGCATTTAGAATTATGCTCCTTAAATCAAACAACTGTTCCTTGTCATGAATATCAAGTGTCCAAGTTTCATGTTGCTAGCTTTATGTATATAGTTTTGAAATCATCCCAAGGCCAACAATTCTGACAAAATTTCTACTTAAAGATGGGCATAACTCTAAATATATTTCAGAATAATGACCCCTGTATTACAACTCTGTCTTGTGACATGATAAATAAAGTTTCATGTTGATATCATTCACAGTTTTGAAAAGGCAACTTGATAAAAAGGGTTCAAAAGGGAAGGGACACAACTCCTAAAATATTCCTGTCAGAATTCTGCCCCTTGTCTTAAACTACATCTTAACAGATAACCAAGTTTTGTATTGATATTTTCAAATTGTTTGAGAAATGGACTACATGAAAGTGTTTGCAAAATGACAATGCAGAGATCATTAGGTCAATTTAAAGCTTTTTCTTTGAAACAGACAGGCTAAATATGTCAGTAACAAACATAAGAAAGTGGTCAGACTACATGAGCATGCAGGCTGGCCTGTCAGAGGGCCACTGTATGGTTCTCTCTCAGGCTACTGTCATATTTTTAAAGTCAAAATTTCATACCTGACTTGACTGTGACTTTAATTGTTGATTGTACTTTGTTAATTACATGTAAAAACAGTACTTTTCCAATCTTCTCCAATCATAAAGGAATCATATCACAATTTCCAATATATGCTTTTATCATGCAACAAATATTGTTAATTCATTTACATATTCATCTTAAATTAATTTAAAAAATAATCCCAAAAAAACAATTGTTTCAATTCAGATAACTGGTGACTAATCACTGAAACAATTTTTGATTACCAGTTAGATAAAACTTGATTATCCGAAACACTATCTCTAAAACTACCAAACATAAACTATAAACCTTTTATTAAAATTTTGTAGTGACGTACTTTCCACTTTTTCAGATTAAACATTCATTTACAAAGTTCTTAAGCACTTATACAAAAAATTATCATTAAATGAAGGTAAGCAATTAAACTCTCTGATTATAAATTGGAAAATACTCTTGTTACTTTTTCAAACATTATAAATGGCACTGTTATTTCACAGATAATAAAAGAATTTGCCAATATTGACATGGTCTATATCTAGTAGTATTAGATTTTAAAGATATTTAATACGTTAAATAAAACATCTAGACTAAAATACGCTTGTGTTATTGTATTTCTCATGAACGGTAATTGAGAAATTAAAATTACCATTTTTCGTAGTCTAAATTATAAGTGGTATTAATTAAACATTTTCTTTTTGAAGTGCGGCAAAGCAAAAAAATAAATATTGGGACAATAAAATGTAACCTTCTACATGTACGCTGTTTTATAGAATGACATACCACACCCTATTAAAATCGTGCAGTATTGCCTTACACTAAATCATACTATGGTATTCCCCGTACTCAAACAAAACATTGCATGGTGATAAGTTTTTATACTGCTATACAATACCTCTAAATAATTAATCACAAATGAAATAGACTAAGTATATTAATGAATTTCAACACAGGGTCTTAAGAACACTTTCACTTGCGATTTTTATTAAGGCTATTATCATAGACATTATTGCTCAAATTGTCTTCTCTAACAAATATTCTTGAGACATCGGAGTCAGTTTAAGAATAATTGCCTAGATGTAAAAAAAAACTTTGCTACTTAAAATTCACAGGCATTTTAAACAACCGAAACAATTTTAAAAGTTTTTTTCTAATTCAGATAGAACTTAATATCTGTATCACACTATAATATATACTTCACTTTGAGTAATGTACAATAATTGAATTGGTTCCCTAAATGCAATAAAATCGGAAAAATGCTGACAGTTTGTTTGACTATTCTCAATGCTTTGTAGTAAAACAAGAGCCTTAACTGGAATTATCACTGAAGGTGATAACTCCCCCCTGCTGATAACTTTAATTCCAAAAACAAGAAATATCACAAACAGGGACCACACTTAGATTTTTTTTCATGCAAAAAAAAAATTGCAAAAACATTTATAGATCCTTTTTTGTGAAAATCTTTGAAAGATCATCAAGATCATACTAACTTGTTTGCAATTATGGAATACTAAATCAATTGACACTTGTACACATGTATTTAACTATTATTTTGAGTCCAAATGATATTAATAAAGTTAAGACAGCCGGATTATTTTCATTTTACTGTTCTGAAGTACTAACATAAAACATCAAAAAGGTTCCTATCCACTAATTAGCGAGGCAAGTTTAATTCAACAACTTAAAATAACAAAAAAAAATGTTCAAACTAGATATTTGTGTATTAAAAGCTCAAATGTCCCCACTCCCTTCCAAATTCCATTGTTTAGAGAGAAAAAAATCTGTACACACAACAATTATACTTTAAAGTTTTATTTAAGAGTCCAAACATGCTCAGGGGGCATAACTCTGTTTATCACCAACAGATTTGTGACAATTACCTGGATGCATAAAAACATATATTATAATTACAGATATTCTTAAAAACTACAATTATCTGACTGCTATACTTTTTGCATTACATGCAACACAAGTCAAAAAATGCTATCAGACTCAGTCTTGGATATGTCCCTGTCAACTCGCAGTATTTTAAAAAAAAACACTTTACATGTAATACAAAGGAAGCAAAAGTAAAACTTGTTTTAAAAAAATATTTCAAGACAAATGAAATAATCCCTGTCACAATCAATACTCAAGAGTAAAATATTTCAAGATAAATGAAATAATCCCTGTTACCATCACAATTATTATGTTTGTGTCCTGGTTTGATAAACTCATGAACTCTTCTTGTATTGCATGGACAATACACAAAGTAACAGTGACAATGTCTACTAACTTTAGATGTAACAATAATTTAAGATAATATAAAAGCAGACAAAGCCTACGAATGGGGAAGTCAGATTAAAAAAAATTGGTATTTCATGAACCACTTCCATTCTTGCTGATTATTCAGTTGTAATTGTAAATGGCAGCGCCCAACTAGTAACGACACTAAAAATTTCACTGATAGGTAAAGAAATTTATAAATTTTCTAATATCTTATATTTGATTTCCTTTTAAATATAATTATGCAAGTAGTCTATAGCATGCATGCCGTAATGTCCCGGGCATCCAGGATTGTCCTGGAAATAAGGTATCTGTCCCAGATGTGTCCTTGATAAGATTTATTTCCTGGTAAAAATATAAATCTAAAATAATCTACTTTGCTGCCAGAAATTTTACATTTTTATATAATCTTATTGTCAAGTTATTAATAACCATTCTAGAACACTAGTATGGATCGATTATCCCCAAACAGTTATATACAGTAAATGGTGACAGTTACCCTTTGATTGGTAAATCTATATGCCCCTTCCAAATAACACTTATAATTTGTATCAATTAAAAATAAATTGTTTACCCCCAGTGGCTACCTGAGCTAAGGTGTCATAAACTGTAATTAACAACTGGCCAGCATTAATTGAATCCACCTCCAGGGAATTAACTCCATTTTGTGCTCAAAAACCATGAAAGTTACTGCTAAATATCAGGTGATACTCGGAGTCTACATTATTTGGTGAATGTTTCAGCTTTTTTAACCAAAAGATATAGCTTATTGTCCTTACTTTACTTAACATAGCTTTATTCAATTCTGTGACTGATTGAATTTACGAAGCCTTAATACTTTAAAAAAATAAAATAGAAAAATTGTTAACTTCAATTATTTATATTTTGTCTCGTGTATGTTGTCATTTAATTTGCAAATTAATATAGATTGTATGCCAGTATGTAAATTATGAAAACAATTTGTTTGCTTGCTGATTAATGCCCCACCCCACCTCTAAATGAAAGTGTCCTGGAAATAAGCTTAAAAATTATGGCATGTCTGCCTATAGCCGGGCAAGCTAAGGCCCGTGACTGCAAATTTTACTTCCCCGTATTAATTATGGATAAATTGCAAAATTTATAAACATTTAAAATTCTTCTTTTTTTTTGTTCTTATTTTTCTTGGTCAATGGATTTTTTTAATTCACTACAACTGAATCAAACCATGTTTATAACTGAGACAGACATCCTGGTTATAACAGATTTATGACAGATCTATGTGACTTGTTTCACTCATGTTAAATTTTAAATTGTTATAATAGTTACTTCAAATAATTTGCTAAAAACACAGCAAGGTGTTGTGACTTGTCCGAGTCTGACTTAGCCTAATTAATTTGGCGTGAACTGTTTGACCCATTTTAAAGACTTTTATTCATACTGTCACATTGCCCGTCCAAAATTATCTTGATGTCTCTTTGCCAAATCTAATTATTTGGACTAAGTCTGACCTTTGTCCAAAATATTTTGATGCAAACCGCAGATATGAAGCTATTTCCTCACTGGTCCAATGATATGAAGCTATTTCCTCACTGGTCCAATTCGCATTTTCCAATGTAGGACAAAAAGAAAATGCAAAGACTAAGTCTTTCAAATTCAATGAAAGAACAAGTCTGAAACCTGAGTGTCTTCGACTCTGTGGATAATAAATTATGTGTCACAAAAATAACAAGAAATTTCATTTAGTAAGTCTTTCTCTCAACAATAACAAACAAACACAATAAACTTTTCAGAAATCTGAAACATAATAAGTTGTCCCAAAGTACGAATAAACAGTGGTGCGAAATGTCAGGGTAACGTTTTCTTGTTCTCAGGCGTTGTGAACAAAACAACATTTATATCTACATTCGTAATAGAATAATTAACAAAATATACGATACCTTTAATGTAGATGAAATACTAGAAAGCATCTAAACGTTTGTTTCCAGGTGTGTCTAAAATATTTGACAGTTTGTCAACACATGCGCGTACCCCCTGCGATCCAAATAAACCATGACGTCATTCAGGCCAATGAAATGAGATTACACGAAATTGACATTTTTGTAACGGAATTGACAGTGAACACAAACGCCTCACCCTTTTCCCGATAATCGGCCCGGTTATTTTTGTGATATTAACTGTAAAATTCAATCATTTTAGTTGAATAAACATGAATAATGTCTGTGTGAAAGACGCACGGATCGAGTATTATTCAAATATGAGCTATGTATCTCTGTAGTCCATGTTTAACGAGGGCCCGCCTGTCCGTTTACATATAGTGAAAGTCGCTGCTGTTAAGAAATACGGGTTCCAGACATGTCAATAGGCCTTAAAGTGTTAATTTTGAAGCACAAAGACTGATCATTAATCTCCATGCAATTTCCACGAAGTGCATGCATATTAGCTAAGGAGATATGAATTTTAAGCCAAAAGTAGGTCTCTGTGCCAATGAGAACCTAAATGTATGTACAGTAACCTAGGACAAATGAAAGAGGTTGAAGCCGTGAAAAAGGCTGAACATATGCCAGCAAACGGCCGTCTTATCGTACTCGGGGCTCACGAACCCTAGTATCATTCTTCGCCGTCTCTGCCTCAAATATTCTTTATTGTTTATCCGCATATTGATTTAATCATATTTTATTGCTTGAAACATGTACATATGTAACATAAAGATTACATTAATACAAAACAGAATACAATAAATACGAATAAGGAAACATGTATATATATATATGCTAACAGTTTGAAGCAAATGGGTTGGGCCACAAGTTTTACCAACATTAATGAAAGCCCTTCCCAGGCAATTTTAAATAACAAAATGTTCATTATAAAGATACAAAACTTGTTTACGTAATTAATGTGTTAGGCGAAGAAACAAGAAAATATATGTTTTTTTGGCATCATCAGAGCAATATTTACAGTTTGCTTCTATATATATCTATATTGATATTAAAGTATTTAGATGAAAATTTTATGACAAAAAAAAACAAAAACAAAAAAAACAACAACAACAACAAAAATTGATAAGAGGTTTAAATATCATGAAATAGAAAAAAACCACACATTCTAAAAACATCCAAACTTCTGTTTACCTTTCCTCTGAAAAAAAACAAAAAACAAACAAACAAAAAAACAGGTTTCGCCTCCATTTCCGTTTCTGGACCAGCATTAAAAATAGAAACACGGAGTTATATTTAATTATCATTAAGATATATTAAGTTCTAAAACGATTCGTATTCTTTATATATTTTTGAACATGCCCAAAAATAATGTCATTATCTTCAGGCGACAAGTTATCAATTCCAAACAGCAGTTTCTTTACACTTAAAGGCTGATATGGGCGGGTATTAATGAATAATTGATGGCGCTGTTGATGAAATAACGGGCATTTGAAAAAATAGTGTTCTGCATCCTCTATGGTATATCCAGAATGTCAGACGTTTCACTCCCAAGACATTTCACTATTGAGACGTTTCACTCCCAAGACGGTTCACACCTAGACGTTTCACTCCCATTTTGTCAATTCTATGGACGTTTCACTCCAAATTTTTAGAGATGTTTACATGGAAAGTTAACAAAATTTTAATTTCATTAATATCAAACAGCGTAAAAAGGAAATTCATTTTAATGTTTCATTTTGTTGATTTCAATGGTATTGTTAATACAAATTATTAGAAGATTACTCATTTAATTATGGGTTGAGTGATAAGAGGTGTAAATGAAAGACAAATTTCTGAAATATCACTTTTATTATAAGTGTAACAACATGAGAAAATTCTATTTATAGTAAATTAAAAAAAAGTAGAATAACATAGAAAGAACAACAAAGACATATTATAAGTATCAGTTTAAATATTGAAATCACTACCAGTAAAGTAATTAATATTATTCAAATAAAAAAAAATATCAATATAATTATTAAATATATTGCCTATATAATGATTATTTTTTGTAAGTCTTAAACAATAAAATGCGAAACATGTGTATAAAATAAATTATTTTTTAAAATTATTTTCTTCATCAATTTATTAAACAGTGGCCATTTAACAAACTTAAGTAATTGTGGTGTTATCTCATCGCCTAGTTAATTGTATAAACACTGAGACTATCAACAAAAGTTTGACACCACTATTAAATCAGTTGTATAAACACTGCACTAAGCATCAACAGTTTACTAATCAGTTGTATATTGAACCATTAAAATATTTTTTGACAACAGCCAATTTAAACACAGAAAATTCTCCATAAGTTTTGTTTATATAATAATGAATTTTAGTCACAAAAAATGATTATACATGACAAATATTGAAAAAGACCCAAGTATATCATAAGTATCAAAATAATTTTTGTATAAAAAGGGAGTGAAACGTCTTCAAGACGTTTCACTCCCATTTGGGAGTGAAACATCTTGGTGTGAACCGTCTTGGTGTGAACCGTCTCAATAGTGAAACGTCTGTCTACCGTATATCCACAGTCACATTTTTGATTATCACGTAAGTGGTTGTAAAATAAGTCGGAGTTTAGGTTACTACATTTATTACGTATTCTTGCATGATGGACCTGTGAAAATCTTTCACCAGAAAAGAAGAATGAGTTTATTCTCATAGATTAAATATCTAATTTTAATCTGATAAAACTGGACTTGCAATAGCAAGTTTGTGAAATTTTAGAATAAACTTGTTGTTATTTTTGCAAGATATAGGCATTTTAATTACAGTTGATCCTAAAATTAATCCTTATTTTGAGCCCAATATTATTTTTTTATTTTGTTGATTTTGTCCCAAAATAGGAAGTCAGCATTTTTTTTTACATTTTGAAAACGAAGCATTTAATAATAACAAAATACGATCAATTTTAGTAGCATAAAACAATGACAATAAAACCAGGATCACTTGATCCCGATAGTGATCTTTTCGAAGTGAACACCCAGGTCTTTGTTTGTCTGCTGTTTTTTTTCTTTCTTTTTGGCCATCGCAAGTTTTTCAAATTTGAAACCGATGCCCAGTGCCTTCTCTTCGACATGCACGTTCCGTAGGGAAATATAAAAGCAATCTAGAGCTATCTATACATCTTGCAGTTTATACAACTCTCCATGATGTACTAGTCAACTGCAATTGCTGGTTGCCATAAGAATTGTAGAACACGTGCCCAACCCATTTCCATTTTTTTTCATCTGTCGTAGTTTTAGATGTATTCAATAAAAACCGCAATGTTTCCCACGTACTGAAGTCGTACTAAAAAGTAATTACACAATTTATTTTGCCGACAAATTTGTAAAACACAATTCATAGTAACTTGCCTAAACATTAATATTATTAACAACAGCTTGTTGATGTGCCAGGTAGTTTTTCTTCCACTTCAAGTATAACATGTGGTGTTCCCCAGTGTTCAATCCTTGGGCCCCTCCTCTTTTTAATTTACGTCAATGACATGTCAGCGGTAGTGAAAAATAGACTATTGCTATATGCTGATGACTCTGGAATACTTGTTTCTGGAAAAAATTATCTGAGGTGGAAATTTCTGTATATGCATAAAATTATTTCAGTTTTTTGGAAATTTATTTGACCAAATATAAAGTCATGAAAATAGGACTGATCTCAGTGTCTAGACAGCTGTCAGAGCTAAAAACAGAAATAAAACAAGAACTGTCGGAAGACACTCGACTATTCACAAGTGTGTTTCATTGAGTATAATAATGCTTACCTATATGAATACATAAACTTGTCCGAAAAGGTACAAAGGCTTGTTATTAAGCTGTTTTATCGAGTAAATCACTGCTTTATTATTATGAATGCATAAAATTGTCACAAAAAGGCACAAACCCTTCAGTAATTATGGAAATACCAGCAAAAACTTAACCACGAATATTTAAGTCGAAAAAGGGGCAAAATTATGCAAGAAAGCAAACAAGAGTTAAGGGACGTGTGCCAATCATGTTAGATAATCACAGAGAACAAGTGTTTGAAGTTTCAATCCATTCCCTTCAGTATTTATGGAGATACCAGCTTACACAAAAAACTTAACCAAGAATTTCTAAGTCGAAAAAGGGGCGTAAATATGCAAAAAAGCAATCAAGAGTAATGGGACTTGTGCCAATCAGGTTAGATAATCACATAGCACAAGTGTGTGAAGTTTCAATCCATTTCTTTCAGTAGTTATGGAGATGCACGAATGATCTTCAAGTGGTACTTTACACAAAATGCTCAAAATGGTAAAGATTTTGATGGAAGTGTGCAGCAAATATTAGGTATAGTCCTTTTCAAAATTGCTCTATGTTTCGGTCTGTTGAACTAGGAATATACTGGTAATTCTTTAGTGACATGATGGCCCTTTTGGTCTAAAATTGACCACTTTTTATGCCACCGCAGCATCTGCGATGCGGTGGCATATATAGCGATTCACCTGTGTGTGTGTGTGTGTGTGTGTGTTTGTGTTATATAGATTATATAGTGAACTTAAAACATCTTCTTGTGAAAAACCACTAGTCCAATTTCAACCAAACTTGGCAGGATTGTTCCTTGGGTGAAGGGCTTCCAAAGTTGTTCAAAGAATTTCATTCCATGCAGAACTCTGCTTGCCATGGCAACCAAAAGGAATTATAAGAATAAATTTAAAAAATCTTCTTGTAAAGACCCAAAAGGTCTAGAGCTTAGATATTTTGCATAAGGCATTGTCTGGTAGACCTCTAACAAGATTGTTCAAATTATAGCCCTGGGGTCAAAATTGGCCCCGCCCCGGGGGTCATTGATTTTCGCTATATGTACATATAGTAAAAACTTAAAACACCTTGTAAAGACCCAAAAGGCCTAGAGCTTAGATATTTTGCATAAGGCATTGTCTGGTAGACCTCTACCCAGATTGTTCAAATTATAGCCCTGGGGTCAAAATCAGCCCCGCCCCAGGGGTCATTGGTTTTCCTTATATGTATATAGTAAAAACTTAAAAAAAAAACAACCAAATGCTAGAGGTTAGATATTTTGCATGAAACATTGTGTTGTAAACCTCTTGCAAGATTGTTCAAATTATAGCCCTGGGGTCAAAATTGCCC